CATGTTTATGTTTAAGGCTTAGAAAGAGGTCATGTTAAAGTTTTCAACTAGTAACACTGTGTCTTACTGAAACTTCGTTTGGCAACCCCCTCCTTTTAATCGTTACTTAAATAATCTCTGCGCATATCTTGTAAGAGTATTTTTCTACTTACTGATTGTCAAACAATGGAGATCGTCCATCCGTAACACATTTGGGTTACGTACTATCTAGTTATACTATGTAAATGCTTTTAAAGCAATTTTAATGACAGTGATGTATCAAAACACTTCTGATTCTGTAGTATGTCACGTTTGACTACATGCTTGCATCAAAGATGCTACATGCAGATTAATAGAAAAGTCTAGAAATTAAAAAAATTCAAAGGTCAAGATGTGGAAGACTCAGGGTTCTCCATCATTTGAAATTTAACTATGTTGCAGACTTTTCGCGAAGCTCTTTATATTCGCGGTATATTCACGATTAAATTCGCAACTGAACCACTATTCATTATAATTACACAAGCATACACGCACACACAACTATTTTGAGTCACTTATTCTTTACACAAATGGTATGATCGTATATATTAATAAAAAAATAATAAATGGATATTGAAAACAATTAGAATGTCTCCTAATATATTTAATAATATACACAAGCCAACTGAACACACACACACACACACACCCCACCCACTACCCCACCCCACCCCACCCCACACACAACACAACTTTAACAAAATACGATTATAAGACAAATACTTATATACTATACTTGTAACAGTATTTACAAGTTGCCAGTATTAAACCTTGATATTTTTATATATAACTTTATATTTTACACATGCTCTGAAGAGCAGACGAAATTCTGGTCGATACAATCGAACTACTTGCCATCTTTCAAAGTAAATTTGCCGTGATTTTGTTTGTTGATCGAATTACGGGCAATTTTTGAATTTAAAAAAGAAACTTTAGAATTGAATTCTGGTCGATACAATCGAACTACTTGCCATCTTTAAAAGTAAATTTGCCGTGATTTTGTTTGTTGATCGAATTATGGGTAAGTTTTTGAATTTAAAAAAGAAACTTTAGAATTGAAAATACTTTTAGGGGTGCCTTTAAATTTTTCAACAATACATGTACATCAAATAAATTACGTTATGATGACTCACATCGCCAACATTACTCTGGAAACGTGATTCTGAAGTAAAGAGATATATTTAATTAATTTTTATATACATGTATTTAAATAATATTGAAAAAAATGCATTTAGCAATTATATGGTTACATGGAAGTGTGAAAACAAACAATTTGCCTCTGTCCTTCATGCATAAAAGACACTCGCTAAATTAAAATTTAGCGAGGGTCTAGGTGATAATTGATAATGCAAGGTGAAGTAAGACAATGTGCCCTAATTAAGAGATAATTAAATGCTCTGCATTAAAAATTGAAAGACGGTAGATTTGTTTGATTAAAGTTTCAGTTAGAGAGAATTTATGGTCTGATTTTCTGATTATCACGGATCTTACTGTGTCGCACAATTTTTACTGTGTCTCACGCATAAAATTTGAATTGTAAATGTGTCGGGAAAAAATTGACTGTGTCGGGCCCGATACAGTTAAACAGCTGATGGAGAATCCTAAAAGTATTAATGTTGTGGGTACAGTTTAAAGAGTACTGTTAGAGAGAGTACCGTTGGATTATATGTTATGGTCACTTCAGATTCAGGGTTCCAGAAAGGGGGCTTTTTGATATTTGGATCAAAGAAGGGAGAGAATATTAGCAAAGTTTACAATCTAAACAGAAACTTTTTACCTTTAGTTGGAAATTAAACTAATATTTATCCATTTATTACATCAAATTACAAGCTACTCGCTAAAAAGGATGACCCACTCGTTGCTTTGCAACGAGCTTTGCTCTAGTTATTATTAATTATGTTCCCCAAACGAAGTTTGGGAACATATTGTTTTTACTTTTTTTCTAAATTTCTTCTCCGGTTCTTTTTTGTCCTCGAGTGTTCTCGGAAACTACTCATCCAATTGAGATGAAACCTTTTTAGAGTTAACAGGCATGTTGTGAAATGCTTTGAAACTAAAAATATAAAGATATATTAGTAGTGTAGAAAAGATGACATGGTCAAATTAGCATGAACTCACGCACATGCACAAGCGCTTCGCGCTGATTGGCTGAAACAAAAATCTCAATATCTTCCTTGTTTTTTGACAAAATCCCTTGAAATTTAAAATATAGGTATATATTACAAGGTTCTACAATATGTTTTATACAGAAATTCTTGAAAGCACGCGCAAGCACGTTCTACAATTTAATTGGCTATAACTTTAACTGGCTATAACTTCTTTAGTTTTCAATAAAACAGAATGAAATTTATATTAATATAATGTAGATAGGAATAATGGGCTTCTACATTATGCTAGTATCAGAATTGAATGCAAGGACATGCGTGCATATGTGCTGGAATCTGATTGGCTAATACTTTATAGGTTGTATCTCTCTTACTATTGTATATAATTCTTTGAAATTTAAGACATTTGGCATATGTTAAAAGGCACTATGTATGTGAGAAATCTAGAAAATACGTGCAAGCACGTATGCTGAAATTCGATTGGCTAAGGTTGTTAATATTTATAACATTCTTTTTTCTTAACGAAAGAAGATGAAATTCAGAGTATATATAAGTAATACAAGTTCCTACATTACTCAATCATAAGAAATGAATACTAGTATAAGAGGACATGCATGCACGCGCGCTGATTTCTGAATGTTTAATATTCATGTTGCTGTGACTTTCTATGTTTTCTGTGAAATTCATTGAAATTTAAAATGGACCTTTTTATTATGGCATTCTATCAGATTTTGTATCTGTAAATGGTAATTTTCGAAATCATGGGCTTGCACATGTACTTAAGTCTGATTAGCTAAGCTCACTGAGCTATATTTGCATTGTTATTTCTTCGAAATACTTTTAAAAAATAAGTTCTTAAAGTCTATAATACAAAGGTTTTGCTTAACGGAAGACCTATAGTGATTCTACTGTTTCTTCTTTTTATTATGTTCCCCAAACGATGTTGTGGAACATATTGTTTCTACTCCGTTTCTTCTTCTTCTTCTTATTATTATTATTAAGGTCTTCCGTCTCCACGGAAGACCTTATAGTGATTCTATTGTTTCTTTTTCTTATTAAGGTCTTCCTTCTCCACGGAAGACCTTATAGTGATTCTATTGTTTCTCCTTCTTATTAAGGTATTCCGTCTTCACGGAAGACCTTATAGTGAGTCAACTGTTTCTTATGAAGCTTATAGTGATTCTATTGTTTCTTCTTATCATTATTTTCCCGCCCAATCTAATTTTGTGCACGCGATTTCTCAAACATTACTGGATGGATTTTAATGAAATTTGTAGAAACAATGTGTTGTAATCTGAAGTTATTTTATCCGAGAGAATTTTTAGAAATTTACTTCCGGTGCTAAGTTACGGACCATTTTCTGAATTTAAAATGACATTTTGTCTGCGGATAATCTCGGAACGGTAAAATGTGAAACTATCAGGGATTATAGATCGTGATAAATATTAGCCAGGGCGTTACCTTTCGTTCGTCGTCCATACTTCCGGTCGTTACCGAATGCAAATTTAAAAAGTCGATTTTTTAAAAAATTTTGTTTTTCAATATTTTTCTTTGATATCAGTAAGGTTTATAAAGGCACTTCTAAAAGGGCTCAATATATGATTTGTTTTAAAATTGATAAAAACAAACGCTAGATATTCACATTTTAAAATTTGAAGCGGGGACCAAAATGGCGGCTGTCTCTGTAAAGGCCAACGAGCAGGTCGGCGTTTACGGAGAAAGCCGAGCGTCTGGTTAAATGAAACTACCATAAGCATAAATGAAATGTGAAGGCATTGTTGGATAAGCAATCAATCTTTTAAGAAATTATTACGTGGCAAATGCATGCAAGGCTTGTGTCATACAACATGAATAGAAAACGGCAAAAAATTAGGAAGATTGTTTAATGAAGTTGATATTAATATTCCTTCATAGATGCAGGTTATTGAACATAAATAAATTTAAGTGAGCGTCTCAGAGAAAACCATGCAAAATGGCAAAAATGGTCCACAAGCTTACGTCTCAGATATTTTAAAACTGGTATAAAACTGGAAGAACCTCCCATGAAAGTCCAAATTTTGAATTCAATTGCCCCTCAATGTTGTTCTATTTTTAGCTTTGACCTACTTTAAGTATTGGTACAAGTATCCTTTGAAAAATTGTAAAAAAAAAATACCAAAAACGATACATTTTGAGTACCAAATTACAAAAATAAGAGAACAATTCATACAAACTTTTTACTCATGTATAAGTTATCTATGTCTTATATTTTCAGTAAAACAAAGTTGAATTGATAGTACTGCTTTTATAAAAATCAGGCAGAATTTAGAAAACTGGCATATCGATACCACTGCCAGATATGAAAGAAAATGCTAACTTTGAGTAAGGTATAAATATACCTGTAAACGCTTGCATCTTGTCTATCTCACATGATTATAGAAGTAGAAGACCTAAATGGAAAATGAAAGAAAATCCATCTTTGGACTCTCAAAGTTTACTGCACAATTGATAAAAATTGATATATACATATATGAAATGACATATTTTAGGTCATTCTTGAATTTATTCATATTTTAGACATCGAGACCTTAAAATGCTTTTTAAATTTTGAATTAATTTCAAAAATATATTTTCTGGTCATAAATACTTGTTAGATCAATATATTCCATGTCTAAATCCTGTAGATAAGTTTTGTTTCTATGAAAAATTATTTATAAGATTTACCTCCCCTTAAATGCAATCTCCAGGCAGAGGAGGTAGAAAAGAGAAGAGAAGTAATGGAGGTCAAAACATGATTTATCAGAATGAACTTGATGCAACTTTTTTGATCTATGTGGTCTGATCTTTTTAATCAAAATGACTTCCAAGATTTTTCTGATTAATTTGATATATTTATAAATGGAAATGGATGTTCATTTACAAGCACTGCCAACCAAATGCCCTGCTGTGTGTGACTTTCATAATGGAGAATCTGATTGTAATTTTGCAAACACTTTTTATGTTTATGAATGTGACATAGATATCTTGAGTCATCTATATTCTCTACAAAGTGCGGAAATAATAGACAAGCATGTATATGATGCTCACGTATGTCCTGAGTATATATTAATATTATATCGAAGTGGATATTTCACGGTTGATAAAACCATTCTTTCAATGAGAATATGTATAAAGCACCGTGAAGAGTTGGGGGCACGATGGAAAAGACCCAAGAGAACCTGTTTCTATCCTGGTCATCAGGGAAACATGAAAGCAGACAGAGAAGCCAGTCCTACAATTTGTAAAGAACTGTGGTTAAATACAAGACAAATATTACCAGTAGTTTCAGGTTGGTTATAATTATTATGAACCTAGTTAGTAGTTATCATATTTTCAATAAAATGATTATAAAAAAAAGTTGCATTGAATTATGTGTATGAAAGAAATATTTATTCCAGTAGAATAAATTTAGATAATAAATTCAAGTTAAGTTTAAAGAGCATATGTATACATGGAGTAATCTGAGAAATGCAAACTGATCACTGATCACAAGTAGTAAGACTTACATGGTTTGTTAGGATCTTATTTGAAAATTACACAAACTATCATAATTTTTAAAAAAAATGAAAAAAGAGGGGGGGGGGGGGGTCATTTAGGCCTATTATTGGAAATCAGCATTTAATTTTGTTTGTAACCTAAATTAAGGCATTCACAGAAAACTATAGAAAAAAAATTATTATATCTCAAAACAGTTAAAGTACACCAGGTGATCACTATTATTTATTATTTATAATTTGTTTATTTACTCAATATATTATTAAGGAAATTTAAAGAAAATGAATTCGATAATGATGTGTATATGCCATAAATAAGTTTTATTACAATGTACTTGTACTTTGACAAAATTTGCATTATTTATTTCAATTACTTGTCTTGTAGCAATTTGCAAGAGGTGCTCAATGGAGCATAAGAAGAATGTTTCTCCCTCTTACAATGTACAGTTTGTGGAAGAACTTGGTAATTATAATATTTGTTAAGTATACATTAGCTAGCTAGTATGCAAAAGGATACATTAAGCAATTTTCAGATTCAAAATGTTGACATTTTGAGGAAAAAATTGAGAATGAGCAAGGACTTTGCAACATGCTTAATAATTTTATTACATATAAGACAAAATCCCTTGTTAGGTGAAAAGTACTTGTACATTTGTTGTAAAACTCATGAAATTCTGAAACTAAAGTGCTGCATGTAATATATCTTATGCAATAGTCCATTCTAGTTTAGTGCATTATTGCACATGCAACTTGTGCCATCCCTGACAAATATAATTTTTATATCAAAAAAAGAAGTATTTGTTTAGAAGATCACATTATTTTACTTTCAGATTGGTGTGAACAAATTTGTAGGACTTGCCATAGAGACTTGAAAAGAGCTTTAGAAAGCAATCATGGATTGAAAGGAACTAAAGCTTGTGTTGTCTCCATTGACAATGCAGAGGAACCAAAAATAAAATCCAAAATCCCCCAGATTAGCCTTCTGAACAACTTCATATTTAATGTGGATTCAGTAATTATGAGAAAGGCATACCAGGTTGGTTGTGGAAGGCTCATCAAAACAAATCTCTTGAAATATCAACATCTTCATGTTAGAGAAATGAAGGTTTTCCAGGTATATGTTATGATTACAAATCTATATAATAAATATACAATCACTTTTTTGTATGGATAAACAAATTTTTTTTAAATAGTTGTTGTTTTTGTTTTAAATTCTACAATATACAGTAGAATTTCTATTATTTTAGTTAAATATTACTAATGCATTATGGATTTTTCTGGTATAGGTTTTAGAAGAATTTCCGTCCCATGCAGTTGATACTGGACAAGTTTGTATGAGAAAAAGAAACTCTAACAACAGAAATGAAGCTGTCAGTGTGCAGGACCAGGATCAGAAACAACTGTTCGATGAATTGTATTCATGTCCAGATCCCTCTTGTCAGAAACAGTATGTAAGGTCTGCCAATCTCGAGAAACATCTCGCTCTGGGAAACCGCCTTTACAGAAAAGCAGAGGAAACTGCGATTGATTATGGCATTAAAATCTGAAAATGTGTTAAATGTTGTAAATACGTAATTTTGTGTATCCATGGCAACCTATTTGATAAACATGTAGGTGTGAAAAGTTTATTTTCTGCAATTTTATTCTAATTGTTAAAGATATTTTCTAAAGATACAAGTTACAATTCCAGCATTTCATGAAATGCACTTAGCATATGAATATATTAGCATATATGTATTTCTAATTTAAACACTTGATATTTTGCTTTGTTTGGTAACCATGGTAAACATTTTTATGGTAGCTTACATGCTATGTTAGTATAACATGTTCTTTTGTGTCTATTTCATAACACAAATAGTCCTTTTTAGTCATATTATATATGTATTAGCAAAAGTAAAGATTTGAAGATTATCATGGGGGGGGGGGGGGATTTCGGAAAAATTGAAAAAAAATGTAAAATGTATGATGTTTCCATGGCAACATTTACATATTTTTTTTCTGTATCTGTACCGGGTACACCAATGTTTTATTTTAAATGTTTGTAAATATTGGACTTGTTTTCATGATTTTCTGATCGAAGAGTAATGAATTGATTAAAGTAATTTTCATCCTTTTCAAAGAAAATGATAAAACTCCAAGAATATGGTATTTCCATGGCAACATGTTCTTTATATTTAAATGACAAAAATAAATTTCTTAATATTTTTAAACACTTTGCCTTTTTATATAGAATATTTATTAATACCACACATACTTTTTTCCTGTAAAAATAAGTTCAATGAATAACAGCCATTTGATGTTTTTAAAGAAAACGTACCAAGATAATACCGTAACCCATGACAACATATATGTTCTGCATTAAAATGTATTTAAGTTCCTTTTATGTAGAATTGTGTTATAGTTGTCCTGTTTGTTTTGAAATATTATAAAGTGACATGCTGAAACATTTCCAGTTAAATTATGATATACTAGGTGTGAGCTTTTTTAACAATGTTTATTATGATTTGCAATACGTCAAAACAAAGCATTGTTCGTGACCTCATATCTGCCCTATTTGAAAGAGTCCAAAGATAGATTTTTTATATCTTCCTAATTATGGTCTGTACTTACAGGTGTAATTACAATAAAACAAATTGCAGTGTTTACAGAATCTTTAAAAATACTTTGAAAGTTCATAAATATTTGAATTTTTTGGAAATGTGAATTTTGGAAGATTTGTGACCTTTTTGTACTTAAACTGGATAAGTACTGAATAAATTTTACTATCCTGACTGATACTCTAGGCAACATACTTTTATGCCTATCAATTAATTTCAATGCATGAAATGTCATAATTTGTTGAGACTTCCTCAAATATGTCTAGATTCAATGATTTCAAGCTCCTAGTTTGACTACATGTTCTATTTTTAGTAACATGCCTCTAAGTCATGAACTAAGGCAACAATGACAAAAATATATGTGGCAAATTTAATGGTATATCAATACTATATTGCACACAAAAATTGATAACAATACATAAACCCTGCTTGTGGACTGTTTTGCATGGTTTTCTCTGAGACGCTCACTTAAGTTTACTTAAATTTTTTTTATTGTAATCAATAAGTCTCCTCCTTGAATGTTCAAATCTGATATATTGTATAGTGATGTATTATAATAGTCGTTTTGTTTCATGTCTTAGGAGAGGCAGAGATTGACCAATCAAAATCAAACATTCAACATTTCGGCCACGCGGTGCGTCACTCTGCCTCCTCTCCCACCTACAGCCTTGGAGGACGGACGTTTTTTTCAAGTTTGTTATTTATTTTATCAAGTATTTGGTGAGAAAAATTATTTTATCATGTCTTCAATGTGCAAAACGTCGGTTGTCATTCTTGGTCATTTAATTGTGCGTCGTATTCACGAATTCTTGAAACATGGTGATGACATTAGATATTCTGCAAATCTTGGTCTGGGAAAAACGCAGTCCGTTTTGTACAGGGGTATGGGTGGAAGGAAGGTTCGTGATATATCTAAGGATGTGGAGAGTGTATTTGCTTTAGGTCCCGAGGTGGTTGTTTTAATGGTCGGGGAGAACGACATCGTTCCCAGTGTCACAGCCTTATAAATGTGGTAAAATACAACACAACTTGCTGCTGGGTTCGATGTTTATATATAATCTATATTCTACGATTATGGAATTTTATAACATAGAAGGAAGGGTGACCTGAAATATAACAACAGGTATTAAATATCTCTCGCCTCACTCACACTTTTATGCGGATCATAATTTAAATTTTATAAATTTGGATAATTTAGAAAATACTCGATTTGAATATAATGATCAAATAGATATTGAATAACAATTGAATCCTTAGAAATAATTTACCAATTATTTCTTACCGTAATTCCTAGACTGAAGTTCACAATTATCGTGAGAAAAAGTTGTGTTGGGGAGAGAGAGCGTCTTCTCTCCCCAAAATCTTAGGTTGGAGTGCTCGAGAATTAGTATTGGCGCGAATGCGCAGGGGACAGAATAAAACCAGTTTGACCACTCACACACCCGTACTCTCACTGACCACTCACCCGTATAAATGAATGAATGAATGAATGAATGAATAAGGCAATGAATGAACGTAGTAAATTCCGTAGTGAGAACGGAATTCACTAGTTATTATAATAATATAATGCCTTAGACAAATGTATGAATATGATATGAATGATAATTAGTAATATTAATTAATTATAATTCACCCTGTGACATTCTCCTCCTCTTTGAGAAAAATGTGTCCTCACATTTCATCAAATTACATTGTAAAAAATATATATCAACTGAAATAAAAATATTAAATATTATAAATATCAACACTCATATGATTGATAATTAAAGTTTGGCAACATCTTCTGCTCTATAACAGAAAGCATTTTGTATTAGCACAAACTGAAATACAAAATCATTCAATCAATCCATATCAATGTATTATTGTCATAAAACTGGAATCATGAATGGCTAAGCTGAAAAGCAATCCATGATTAATAAAGTATCCTAAAATCTAGGTAATATGATCAACTAGCGATCATGTAAGTCATAAAACTATCAACTATCATATACGTCCTAAAACTATCAACTTTAGATATCTACGTCATAAAACTATATACAACTAACTATCTGGAATATACTATCTGAAATCTAGTCCCTGTAATAATCCTGTGACATTCTCCTCCTACACATACCATACTTGAGCATCATGCTCCCTTACAACCCAATTTCCATATCTATCAGGAGGATTTTTAACTCTTGTGGAACGTCTTATACTTGGTTGAATAGTAGACGGGCTCGATTCACTACCTCGCGACAAATTATCATGCATTTCGGATAAATTTGTACTCGATATTGTATTAAAAGAAGAACCACTGTCCTGAATTTGATATCCAGGGTCAACGGAAGAAGAATTTTCTAACCTTGACATAGGTCTACTAAAATCTGAAATATTAAATGTGTTGAATGTCAAACCATCTGATCTCATTTGTTCATTTGAACTATTGAGATGAGTATTATGGTTAACACGTGAAGTGTTATGAACATTATTACATTTATTTGTATTTGCTGGTTTTGTCACCAATAACACCTCTGATTCAGAATCACTTGATTCAGAATCTGTTCCACTTACTGTAAACACACTATGTTTTTGTTTAACAGTTTTCTTACTTTTCTTGGTCTTATTATTTGTAAGACAGTCATCATCTGACAAGAACATAAAAGGTAACAGTAAGTTTCTGTGAAGTAATCTTACTGGTCCTTTGCCAGATGACTTCTGCACTTTATAAACAGGAATGTCACTATTGGGAATATCTAACACAACATATGGATCCTTTACCCATTTATCAGATAGTTTACTTTTTCCAGTCTTTACTAAAAGACGAACTAGAATCCAGTCTCCGATCTCTAACTTTGAGAATCGGATTCTATTATCATAGTTCTCTTTGTGTCTTATAGTATTTTTTTCAACATTAGACCTTGAGACATTATAAGCAAAGTTTAATCTTTTCTTCAATTTGTCAACATAAGTTTGATGACTAACTGGCTTATCAGACATTTCTGAAGGATCTAAATTTAAAAATGCATCAACGGCCAACTTTGGATGCCAACCAAACATTAAATAATGTGGAGAAAAACCAGCTGTTGTATTTTGTTTGTTTGCATTATAAGCATGAACCAACGGTAAAATATAAGATTTCCAATCATCTTTCTTGTAATTTTCTAAAGTTCCCAACATTTTAAGCAAAGTTTGGTTAAAACGTTCAACTAGACCATTACCCATGGGGTGATATGGTGTTGTACGTGATTTACTCACACATGCTAATTTACAAAGTTCTTTAATAACTTTACTTTCGAAATTTTTTCCCTGGTCTGAATGTAATCTTTCAGGAAAACTATAATGACATATAAAATTTTCAAATAATACTTTTGCAGTTGTTCTTGCAAGTTGGTTCTTCGTTGGCACAGCCATTGCATATCTAGTGAAATGATCTGTGATCGCCAGTATATTTTCAAATCCACCCTTTGATCTTTCAAGAGATAAAAACTCTATACATAAAATTTCTAAGGGTTTAGTACTTTGGATATTAATAAGATCAGCCCTTGGGGTATCACCAACTTTTCTTCTCACACACCTTCCACAAGTTTCTACTCTGGATTTAATATCATTATCCATTCCATTCCAAAAGAATCTTTGTTTAGCTAACTATAGAGTCATCCCTACCTTGGTGTCCTGCATTGTCATGAATTCCTTTAAAAGCTACATCTCTGTACTGTGCTGGTAAGACTAATTGTTTAATACTTACTCCATCTTGAATAGTGTTTCTATAAAGTATACCTTTACAAATTTCTAAGTTCTTCCACTCTCTAAGATACTCCTTAACATCTTGACTTTCGTTTTGTAAGTCCTTACCTGTAGGTTTCAATCCAGTGTGTATTAACTCAACTACTCTATTAATGGCTGTATCTTTATCTTGTTCCTCTTTCCAATTGATATTACTTGTACTAAAATCTGTATTCTCACTCTCTATT